AGTTATTTACTTTAGTGATGAGAGTGATGATGATGATTAGGTTATAGATTAAGATTCCTTAGTGATCTTCTTAATCTATAACCTAATCTTCGTCATCACTTTCGTCACTAAAGTAACTAACTCTTGAACAGATTCACTCTCCTGCAGGTTTCAGATTCTGTGTTTGAGTTGTGATCTTTGTGTGAATGATATGGTGTCCAAGAAAGATGCATTTTTCAGTAGAAATTGAAGATTTAGATTATTTTTCGTCTATGCATTTTTCAGGTCTTGGTTTTAAGATTAAACACTTGAGCTTGTATACTGCAATTTATATCAGTGAAACCATTTTTAGGCATGTGAATGTTGAAAGAGCTCAAATCAGAGAATGAGAAATTGATATGAATTCAGGAATCTGGTTTTGTCTACAGTTTTTATGACTATGGATATTTGTCCAAATGAACTTTTCACTAGACGAGAAAAACTTGTGCATGATTAAGCAATTTTGATCTTGGTTTAGAGGCTGGAAGTGATCCCGATTCAGTGTTTCACGTTGGGGATGTTGTCAAATGTAGAGTAACCAGTGCTGTTCATGGTTCTCGAAAGATCAACCTTAGTTTTATTATAAAGCCAACAAGGTAATCCTTTTTTAATTTGATATGTGATAAATTCCTGCCATCAAGGCTGCCTTAATATCATTGAATGCTGTAGCTCAAACTTGTGCTAATCATTTCTGACAGTGTTCCTCTGAAGACGATTCAATCAAGTTAGGTAGCATTGTCCGTGTTAAATCTGAAGGTCTACTGAAGGGTACAATTTCTGCTGAACATTTAGCTGATCATCATGGTATGTGTTTTCTCCCACACGAGTGTATAATTTGGGTTTTGCTTATATTCCTCTGTTTCTGAGTTGCTTTTTGTGATATAGAGCAAGCAAAATTAATGATGTCACTTTTAAGACCTGGATATGAGCTTGATAAGCTGCTGATACTAGGGAATGCATCAATGAACATCATCATCTCCTCTCCCGTCAAAATTTTCGCTCGTTAAGTTAGCTTAAGAGCTTCCTTCGGATTTAAGTCAGCTCCAGCCAAACTCAGTGGTTCATGTGAGTAGTTGCGTCTTTTAAATATAATAACTTCTTAGTGGGAGCACTATAATTTTTTTCGTTAAGTCACAGTTACTTTTTTATGAATTTGTATACAGGGTTACGTTTGTAACTTGATTGAAAACGGCTGCTTTGTCCGTTTTCTTGGTCGCTTGACTGGTTTCGCCCCGAGAAACAAGGTGGATTGTTTTTACTGTCTTTTATTTATGAATTGCTTGTTTGCATTTGTGTTTCTTGAAGTTTTTTCCTGTTTCGTTTCAAGGCAATTGACGAACCCAGGGCAGATCTGTCAGAATCCTTCTTTTTTGGACAATCAGTTCGGGCTAATATAGTTGATGTATGTGAACGCTGGACTCAAGGCCTTTGGAACACGGTTCTGTTGTCCAGGCAGTTGTTCTTGATCTTTCCAGGGCAGAGAGACTAGTTGATTTGTCTTTGAGGCCTGAGCTGATAAACAACACAACTAAAGAGGTGTCCAATAGTCAGTCAAAAAAGGTTTTCCTTCTTAAGAAATATTCTGGCCAAGTTTCGTTTTATTCATTTTTTCTTGCTTGTTGTCGTTAGCATGAGTCCAAATCTAGCTACAGTGGATGACTATGCTGATCTTAGCTTGCTTATTATGACAAGTTTTATTTTTTCTCTTGCTTCAGAAATGTAAAAGAGGTATCTCCTAGGAACTGGAGTCCACCAGAGAGTCAGTGCTGTTGTAGAAATTGTGAAGGAGCAATACTTGGTAAGTGTTTCATTGCATTAAGTTAATGATTCTTGCATGTTACTCAGAGTTGCTCATTTGTTTCCAGGTTTTGTCGATTCCAGAGCATGGTTACACTATAGGTTGATGATGCAAGTACCTTGTGGAGATTTGCAATTGCAGACACTCCATGGTTAATTGCTCCTAAGAACACTCTTAAGCCATCATCTTCGCTGGAGCAAGTCCGAATATCTAATGTACACTTAGTCAAGAAGAACACTAAGTTGATCCATGGGAAATAGATAAACCAAGAAATTAAAGCAGTTTCTTTCTCATGGTAATTTGAATTGTAGCTTCAGCTGCCATGAAAGGATATTTGGTGCAGAGGAGTTTTGTGCAAGGTCTCATATGAAAGGATACTTGTTCATTGTAGATTTCGACCATTTGAACGTATATCTCATATGTCATCATGTCCCTTCTTTTGTCACATATTTGGTGGTACTAACGATCAAAAGTCAAACCCCATAATTTCAGAGGAGAATTCTACGACTTGCTTCTTTTCAGGTAACAAAGAACTCAAACCTACATGATGAAAGTAAGACAATGGAACATAATAGAAACCGCAATTTCACTATGACCAAAGATTCAATGAAAGAAGAGACTTTTTTTTTTCTTGGGTCGAAAAAGAGGAGACTATATAATCATGGATTTTCTTGAAGGAATTGGTATAATGTAGAGGTTGGATACCAACGATCAAAAGTCAAACCCCACAATCTGTAGAGGAAATTCAAACCTACATGATGAAAGTAAGGCAATGAAACCTAATAGAAACCTCAATTTTACTATGACCAAGAATCAGTGAACGAAAATACTATAATCAAAGGAAAAGATAATCCCTTTTTCCTACATAAGTTACCAAAAGTTTTTCTTTTGCCAGAAACGAAATGGAGTGGGCTAGTTGGGCCCATTAGAGTAAGCGGTTGATTTTATTCGAAAGGCCCAAGGCAAATATGTATAGATCTTTCCCAATCACAAAAACTCGGTGAGGCAAAAAAAAACGAAATCAGAGACGAACCCTAACCATGAGACGAATCAGAGGTTAGTTTATGGACTCTTCTAGTCTTCCCTCTAGTTACTTCCAGAATATGGAAAAACTAGAAAGAAACTTTGATATTTGGTAGGTTTTATCTTTCTCAAAGTGGAAAGAAGTGATGAGGGACTTGTTTTGTGTATGAGCGAGAATGAGTTCTTTTGGAATTTGGGGTTTGCTGTGTTTTCTGGTTTATGATCCTTTCATCGACATCCAAATTTAGTACTATGTGACTTTTAGAGAGAATCTCAAAATTTCCCACTGACCCACATGTCTGTTCAATAAACTGTCTATGCAATTCTTGTCACTAACTGAATCTTAGGTTATAATGATGGTAGAATTCTTCCTTGTTCCTTATGAACACTTGTTAGCTTATTCCTAAGTGTCTGCGATGTAATATGTTTGTCCATATTCTATGAATCCTTGTTATGCGAAGCAAAATATCCTAAATGGTTGTTTTTTGGTTTTCTTGGTATATATGACATTTGTACTAAAGTGATTCTGTGTTATTGAATGTTGCTCCATTGATGTTTAACTTATTGTCTCTGATGTTTCCATTGATTGATGCAGATATGGGAATGCAACTGTGGTGAGAGAGAGGATGGAGGAATCTTATCTTCCCATTTGTGCTGTTTTCTGTTTTGGAATATGATTTAGACTATTTATGATTACAAAGTTTTTCAGGTTTAGTTATTGCAATTTCCCATGAACTTGTATAAATCTCTTCAAATGTGGAAAATTTCCATTTCTTCTCACATTAGTACTTTTTTGGTGTAAACGAATCTCCCATGAACTGCATAAATCTCTTTTGATACTCTTTTTTCTTCCTGTATAGTCTCCACAAACTATAGAAATTACAAAGTTATTGTGAAGATTTGAACGAAACCATAACATGAATGAATTCAATTGTTTCAGAGACGCGAACAACAAAACTGTTAAGGATGGCTCTAAGAGGCATCTGTGTTACAGTCAAGAGCCATCTAATTGAGTTCTTATTTACTCTGAAGAAAAGAAAAAAAAAAAAGACTTTCACTGAGAACTGAGAAACTATGCTTCGAGCAAAAGCAAGAGAAGGTGTTTTTCTTCAATAGCCTTAAGCTCATTTCTTCTCTATCTTTGATGATGAACGCATAGGTGGAGGTGTTTTTGCATTTCTTGCACCATTTACACCTATAAAAACAAAAAGAAACCAAAAGGTCTGATATTCATTTTGTTACAGTGAAAAAGTGTATTGTTATGGTATAGATCTCTCTATCTTACCATTCTCAATTGGTTTTCCTCCTATAGAGGATCTACGAGATCTTTCTGGTCCTGTTGGAATAACACCAGTGAGTGATTGCCTTCGCAGTGTCTTAGTGTTGCTTGTGTTTGGCGACTTTATATCACTAGTAAAAGTATTCGAAACTCCAAGAGGTGACCGTGGATTCACAGAGATGTTCTCTTTTCTGTGGTAACAAAAAGGTTTTTTTCACTAAACCTGTAAATGCATAATATCATCACCATCATAAACATACAATCTTTGTTCATACCTCTTCTCTGAACCATTGATCAGCTTTCCGATTGTCCTCAGTGACTTCCGTATTTGTGAACCTTTTCCATTTGTTCTAGAATCCACAGAAATGATCTGTATCTCAGCTCTTTTATCAGGTGTTTGCAAAAGCTGGAGCTGAGGAATGCTTGTTCTGCCATCTACTTTCACTGCTCTGTTTTGATAAGAGCTTGGAGGACTCCGCGGATTCTTGAGCTGGTGTACTTTCACGGTGAGATCTCCTTTACCGCATTCTTCGGTTTTACAGGACTTTGGACACTCCTGACCCTCCAAACTCAATCTTTTTGCACGACGAGAGGCCAAAGGTGATTTAACACCTTTTCTGTCTCCAAGGTGTGCCTTTGTGTTGCTACAGTTTTCGATGCTTAATCTTCTTAGACGTGGAGGAGTTCTCTCTGTTGTTGCCATCGGTCTGCTGAAAGGAGATTTTATATCCTTTGCTCCACTGTAGGAAACATTGTTCCATTCTTCATTACCCAAAGCCTTCTTCAGGTTTTCAATCTGAAATAAAAATACCAAAATTGTTTGTTGGCTCACAAAATCTTATGTCAAAGCTTACTAAACCAATATCAGTTTCATCTTTACAAACCTGCTCCTTGAGATGAATAACCTCTCTAGTCTCTTTGTGTGCACGAGCAGCTCCAAGCTCAACTGTTGAAACCCTTTGTGCGAATTTCAGAGTACTAATAGTTTCTCCGAAAGAGTCTTCCTCAGGACTCAAATGAGCAAACATCAAGGTTTTGGCTTGTCCTCCTGAAATGAAGTCATATAAGAAATTCAGTGAATATATTTTGTACACAAAACAGAGAAGGAAGGATGATTCTTGACTAAGATATTAGTACCTAATGAGTCTTGAAGTAAAAGAGTCAGCTTGCTGTTTCGGTATGGAATGTGAGAATTCTTCTGAGCTAATGCAGAAATTACATCTCCGAGACAAGAAAGAGATTTGTTGATATACAGTGCCTCCTTGAGTCTGTCTCCTGTAACCTCTGATTTATCTACTCTCTCGCTCCCTGCAAGATCCACCAGATGCAAGCAACTGCGGAGGGTACCACCAGATGTGTCTCTCCCACGCACGTGCACCATAAGAATACTACAAAAACATATAACCAATTTAGATCACAAAGCAGTAAACTCAGTAATTCCAAAAGTGTAGTTTTGACTTCTGAACCTGTGAGACCGACTACTTCGATTGTTCATAGATGTGGAACCTACAGCACGGTTCACCTCACCAGCCTCCATCAGCCGAAGGACATCCATTGTAGAATTCACAGAATGCATTGTCGCATCTGGAAGACTCAAGCCATCATCTTCGCTGGAGCAAGTCCGAATATCTAATGTACACTTTAGTCAAGAAGAACACTAAGTCGATCCATGTGAAATAGATAAACAAATAAATTCAAGCAAGTTCTTTCTCATGGTAATTTAAATTGGAGTTTCAGCTGCCATGAAAGGATATTTGGTGCATGACGAGTTTTCGGCAAGAAGGTCTCTGACTTGTTCATTGTAGATTTCGACCATTTGAACGTATATCTCATATGTCATCATGTCCCTTCTTTTGTCACATATCAGAAAGAGATCGCTGAGAGCTAGATAGTTAATTCCCATTTCACTAGCTGATCTGCCTGGAGGACCACTCTGAATCAGGAAAGTACATATGATAAGTAACTACATATGCAGAAATGTAAGAAGATGCTCTAGTTTGTAGAACAATTCTCACCATCGTGTATGTCTTCCCCGATCCTGTTTGGCCGTACGCGAACATACAGACATTGTAACCATCCATCACTGATCTGATTAGTGGTTGTGTTTCTCTGAAGACATCATCTGCACGCATGAGAAAAGAAAGTTTCAGAGATAGTTTACTATAAGTTTCAAGCTCACAGCCTTTGAGTAGTTGCAAAGTTACCTTGAGTAGCTGTTGGGCCAAATACTTGATTAAACTGAAACGTTTTCCTCGCATCTTTCTGTTGCTTTGATGGATCCACAACAATCAACGAGCCATCTTTTCCTATATAATCTATTACTCCTTTTATTTCACTATTGAAGAATGGTCTAACTCTGCAGTACACTCTTATATTCCCTGCATATATCAAGACATGGCATTACGACTTTTTTACAAAGAGCAAACTTGTGTTGACTGTTTCCTACCTTTAAGATCTTGGACCATGTTATATAATTTTCTGTTCTCTTCCACCACTTTGTAATATCCTTGAGCTGCTGATGACATCTCTTGCATCTGATTCCCTGTGCATAAGACATAAAAATTGTGTTTGAAACTAGGAAATGAGATTGTAACAAACCATGAAAAGAAACTAACCTAGTTCCATCAGATCTCTTTGCAAATGAACCTGAAATTCCTTAAAATCCTGCTTCGTTTTTATAAACAAGGTTTTGAGAACCTGAACAAAAAGAAGCACACCTGGATTAGAACACATGGTAATGCATAGGAATTCTGAGCCTTGGGTAAGAAAGAACATGACAGACAAATAAGGAATGAAAGCCAAAAGGTGTTGACAGAAAGAGAGTCATGCTAAGTATTTTCCAAAAGAGTAGTAGAACTTCATTAAGACAGATTAAATGGAAACATACCGTAAGCTCCTTTTCTTGTGTTTTCAGTAAATGCTTATGGTTGCAGTTTGTTTTGTGTAGGACAGTTCCGCTGGACTGAGCAAAATATATTCAACAATTTGTTAGCGTAAACTTAGATATAAAACGCTTCTAAACAGTCGTGGAGTCAAGAGAGTTGTCTAAGATTAACCAAAGGAAACCAAAAAGGTAAGAACAGAAGAATAAGATACAATCAGTCACTAATAAATTCATAACCAGAGCATTAATCAAAACTTGGGGTAAAAAGAGACATGGAAAAGGCTAATGAACAGAAGATGTTCATTGTTCTTGTACAGTTGCCAACATATAAATGCAGTTGTAAAAGTAAGAGTTTCTTGTCACAGGGATTAGAGAGAAAAAGCTAAAAAAGAATACTTGGTCGTCTTCAGGTAACTCCTCCAGAGGCATGGCTTTTAAGTCTGATGGAGTCAGTGTACCTTCGTTAAGTAAATTCTTGAATACTGATTGAAGCTGTATATAAATACAAGGAACATATTATATCATCAGTGTCAGATACTCAGATCAATCTATCAAAGCAGTATTGAAATATAATACTTGCCTAATAAGACCAGATCATCATCATAAGGCACATCAATTTTCTATGTTCTAAACTTGTTTCTAACGCAATCGCTATCAGTAACAAATCTTATATTAATGAGGAAAGCAATTAATAGGCCTCTAGGATAGTGAATACAAGGAGCTGTATTTATAGTATTTAGCAAGTTTTCAAATTCCATACAGCATTGCTAGACAAGTCAAATACTCAACTTGAACACTCACCTCTGGGAATCTTGAGATGATTTTCTCAAAATTTACTCTCGAATTCTGCAATTCAAAGAATTCAAGCGAATGAACAAAGATGACTTGACTGTTACAGTAAGAACATATGAACAAATGCATAGAAAATGAGGCAGAACATTTCAACTTACCTCACTGCCATTCTTAAATGAAAGAAGACTCTCATCAATATTTTCCTTGGAGCTGAATATGTGATCGGCAAACAACTTGGCTATCACTGCAAGTATCCAATCCGTGTAAGGCATCAAATATAAAATGTTATACTTATATCATGATGTAGCTGAAATGAAACGAAGGATCAAGAAGAAGCATGGATCATACCTTTGAGTTTATCGGATTCACCATCTGCACAATCGTTCCTATCACGGACTGAGGACATGTCCAAATGCCTAGACGTTTTGGTAGCACTAAGTGGATGAATCTTAGTTGCAGAGAGCTGAAACGTTGGCGTTTTGACGTGCTTGTATAACCCATTACCACTGCTAGTGATCTTGCACTCATGGTATGCCTTAAGTCCTAAAATGCAATCCACAACCTTGGTCACTGATCCAGACTCTAGATTATCCTGTGACATTATAGTTCAGTTAGTTCATAGCTTATAAAGAGATTCAAACCATTAAACATAACAAAAAATTCTCCAAAATGTGTAACCTTTTCGAGATCAGAAGCTTCGAATCCTGGAAGCCTCAACTGTTCTAAAGCCACAAGAAAATTCCTCACATTCTCAAAATACTGATAAGCTTGAGGAAGTTGATACTCTCGGTTAAACGACTGCAATTGCGAGTAGTTCTCCACAACCTTTAAGTTAAAGAATCAGAACTCAAATCCAAAGTCTGATGAATTTCGAAACAATCAATTCAAATCGAAACAAAAGAGAGTACCTTGGGAACAGCTCCTGGGTGGATCTTGTTGATGGCATTGCAAAGTATCAAACCATTTCTCAAGCAAGAAATAAACTCTTTTTCCGATGGCTGACTCGGTATACCGAGTTGACCCACTACTGATTGAAGCCATTGAACGGCTTGAAATCTTCTCGCCGCTGCAACAGTTTTCAAATTAGCCAAAAACCCGAATCAGAAAACACAAAACTTTTTCCCCAGAATCAAAGAGAAGAAGAGACTCAATTTTTACGAACCGGCTTCTTCGGCTCTTCTTGATGCCAAATTAAACTCATGCAGCCCAGTTCTCACGCTCGTCATTACAATCCAATTCCTTCCTGAAAAGGAATGATTCACCGAGCAAAATCAATGCACGTTCACAGAAAAGAATCAGACAAGGAAACAAATCGAAGAGATCAGAGTTACCAATTATGAACACAGATCAAACCCTAGAAGAAGCAAACGAAAGTAGTCGTCTTCTTCTTCTTGATTCGCTTTGGGTGTTTTGCTTATAATGTTTATCTCTTCGCTCGAAGCTTTTCTTTCTTTCGTTTTCTTTGTGGTTCGGATCCAAACCTGAGCGAGAAAATTGTAACGTTAACTCTTTTACTGTGTTTGAATTCAAAAAATCTTGTGAGCTAATCTTATCCGTCCGATTCGCTAATGTGTCAACGGCCTTTAATTTCTCGAAGATGGTAAAGCAATTTTCCCTAATTTAATTGGGTTGTAGATTTGTTAGTTATGCTCTCATTTGTGGGAAATAAAATACTGTCATTTTTAATTAAGCATCACGATTTTCATATACCACATCCAAATTTTTCTTCTCTATTTTAGAATTTTTCAGAGAGAGATAAAAAAGTATTAAATGTTTTTTGTTTCTTTTTTTTGGGTGTTCACCTATCATTTGTAGAAATGTAAGGATTAGATTCTATCAAACCGCATTAAAGATATGTTTTTTTTCAAATATGTAACGTTTTCTGCTTTTGATTCTCTTAGTTACATTAGCTATAGAATTCTAATTATTGTTAATCTTAGAATTCTAATTACAACAAATGTCATTTGT